CGGGCTAAGCCTATGTGGAAAACTAGGTGTTGTCACCAAATACAGTCAGCCTTTCCGCTCGCTTGACAAAACAGCCGAGCACCAGGCAGCCTCTGCCGCGCACCGGGGAGAAGAGCAATTTAAGTCTGTCGGATCGCACGGCATTCTGGGCGTTTGTCTGAATCATATTCGTAGAGGTAAGTGGCCCCTGGTAGATTTTCTTCCAGTGAAAGAAAAAATCATGAGCTTCACTTCAGGAATAAAGAGGGAAAAAATATTACTAAAACACTGAAAAAAGGAATCCTTAGTTCGATTTTTCAGATGCCGCCAAGTAATGAGGTGCGTGGCAGACTGTCTCCCCGCAGAGCAGCCGGCCTGTCCCAGTAAAGCTGACGGGAAGGTGGTTTGGGGAAGGTGTTCTGAACAATCCACACAGCAGCAAGTTTCCAGTGTCTCTGAGGCACGAGTTACGCGACGAGGAAAAATGCTCCGTCCAGGGAAGACAAACTAAAATCAGGAAAAACCGTTTTGTCTGTTCCCTGGGCATTTCGTCCTCGCTGTCCCCTCTGGATGGAGAGCTCTCCAACCTCCCGTGTCACGTCATCAGCGCGTTTCACTGAGTCAGAAGGACCGTATTTATGCGTGATCACGCAGGTTAATTTTGGAAGACGATTTGCCAGTGGGAAAAGGCAGAAGTACGTTAATGAAATCTGAAGGTTCACCAAGATTGTGGAGAAGTTTGGGGCTTAGACAAGATCAAGAAAATGTTAACGTATTTCCCTGAATGAATAAAGGGCACGGAGGGACCCTGAATATCTCCAGCTCCCACTTCAAAATTGTAATTTGGCACAAAAGGGGTTTTTAGGATTAAGGCATAAAGATTTTGGTCCTATTTCTTTAGGAGTACATTCCTGAGAAAAATGGCCAGAGTACTGGCCAGTGGACCTGGGTTTTGGGACTTGGCAGCTGTCCTGAAGAGGCCCGAGGCAAGGGCGTCCCAGCTGAGCTGAGTAACAGGGATGGTCAAGGTGGCTGGGGAATCGGGACACCTGGTCGCTGGGGCTGTGGGCGGCAGGGAGGACCATCTCCCCATCTGCACTTCTGTGAAGTGCTACTTTTAAGCCATGAGATAAAGTACCCTGTTACTGGAGGCTGAGTGATGGCCCCAACCCTCCCTCTGAGGCACTTTACACAGGAGCGGACACATCAGGCACCAGGAGGTGCAGGTGGATGTTTGCGTCTCCAGTCAACAAATATTTACGGCACTTCTACTCCGTGCCAGACTAACAGCTGGCGAGCGATGCGTGGGCAAACTCAAACATCACCTGGGGTGGGGAAGAAGGAATGGGGAGTGAGGGAAGAGAACGTTCAGGGGCCCTGAAGAGGGAGTCGGTCTGGAAATCTCCAGAATGAAGGACCTGGCTGCAGAAATCTCTGCCTTCTCCCCGGGCCACCCCTCCCCCGGCCCTCAGCCTCAGCCACTGGGCAGCCCAGGAACCCAAGCAGGTGTGAAAGGAGCCCAGCAGGCGATGGAGGAACGACCGTGAGGGCCAAGTCCTCTCCACAGAGAGCAGCTAGCCTGATGCAGGCTGCAGATGGACCACCCAGGGGATCTGGGAGCAATTAGGAGGGAGAAGTCAGATGGCAGGGGCATGGAGGCCCTGCACTGTCTTCTGTGAGGAACATAACAGTGAGGCCAGACCCTGGGACAGAGGGGCTGGAGGCTGGAATCCCATGGCGGCCTCCTGACACACATGCTCACAGACACGCCAGCTACCACTGTGGGTAATTTAAAGTATCCAGAAAAGAGATTCCAAAATGCAGAAGGCAGGGGAACCACCTTCAAACTCTGATTTTCTTCTGACTCATCTGAACATGTGAAAGTGAACTGCCAACAGGATAAGTGAATTTAAAAGTTACTCTTATTTTTACATACACCCCAATGTTCACAGCAGCACTATTTACAATAGCCCAGACATGGAAGCAACCTAAATGTCCATCAACAGATGACTGGATGAAGAAGTTGTAGTATATATATATACAGTGGAATACTACTCAGCCATAAAAAAGAATGAGAGATGCCATTTGCAGCAACATAAATGGATCCGGAGATTGTCATACTAAGTGAAGTAAGTCAGAAAGAGAAAGAAAAATACCATATGATAACACTTATGAGTGGAATCTAAACAAAGAGACACAAATGAGCTTATTTACAAAACAGAAAGAGGCTCACATAGAAAAGAAACTTCTGGTTACCAGGATGGAAAAGGGGTGGGAAGGGATAAAGTAGGAGTTCAGGATTTGTAGACACTAACTGCTGTATATAAAATATATAAACAACAAGGTCCTACTGTACAGCACAGGGAACTACATTCAGTATCTTGTAGTAACCTATAATGAAAAAGAATATGAAAAGGAACATATGTATGTATACAGATGGCTGAAACATGATGCTGTATACCAGAAATTGACACACTGTAAACTGATTATACTCAATTAAATAAAAGAAATTTCTTTATCCTAAAAAAAATTACTCTTTTTATCAACCACAAGCTGTCACTGCCTTCAACATCATGACCCTCCTGCCAAGCTGAAGACGAGCCCCTGACACTGTGCTGGTCTCCAGGGGTCAGACACCACTGTCACACGTGTTGTTTCATAAACGCTACCCCCACATCAGTCTTCTATAACAGACGAAGACAGTCTTGTTATATGAAATCTCTTGCCCAAGGCCACACGGCTCATCTCAGCTGAGCCAGAATTCAAATGCAGGTTGGAGCTCTGCGGATGCACGTGGCCTCCGAACCGAGTGGATCCTTACCTGCACACACCTGACTTGAACCTTCACTAAGGCCGCTCTGTCTTCCACAAACACGCCCTCATCCTTTCTGTGCATCAGAATCTTCCCACCCTCAAAGCCCAGTCTTCCATCCTGTCTCAGGTGTGAAGCTCTTTCCCGAGCTCTTAAGCCAGAGCCCTGCCGGGATTGCTACCTCTTCCAGATGCCCCCTGTGCCTCTTCCCTGCCCATCCCAGTTTTAAGGACCTCACAGACCAGGAGACCCTGCTCCCCTCTGAGCAGGCTCGTTTCTCACTCCTTGTTCTATGCAATGCTTTCCTGTCCGATGTTTGAAGGGAGTTTCAGAATTTTGCTTTGAAATTCTCATTTTCCTCAGAAATCATTCATGACCTCTCAGCAACCACTGTGGATACTTGAGAATTCTTGAGACATAAAAGAGCTTGTAAATTTCTTGTCAAACAGGATAAAACAGTGTGCTTATTTCACATAACAGTTAAGATTGCGTTTTTGGAGAGTTTTAAATGTTTATTCATTTCAACTGGCAGAGGCGTCTCCCCAGTTTTAGAGCCTAGGAGCACGTTTATTTGTTTGTTTTTTGGGTCTCAGAGAATTCTGTAGATCTGGACCATCTGGCGGATGCTAAGCCCTGTGCCTGAAGTGTCTAATGGTGAGGAAGGCCCTGCTCACCCGCGGCCTGTGCTGCCGGTGACAGTTACACACAGGCCGCCTTTAAGCCCGGGCCCTGCCCCCACCAGTCACGACTTCAAGCTTATTGAAGACAGTGGTTTTCATCTTGTTGATTGATAATTTCTTACAACAATTAGCACACCTGCCATGCAATGAATGCTAGTGGACTCACTAAAAGTACATAATAAATACAAAAACCACAACTTGAACTACATAGTCTTCAACTTCTTTCCTCCTAACACTTCTCAAAATGTTGGGATTCTCTTTCCAAAAAAGAAAAAAAAAGCTTAGTTTTCACTGCTTTAAAAGATGGTAAAGTAAACAACAGAAACAAAACAGAATAGAAATATAGTAGGATCTCCAGAAGAACTCAGCCTCTAGATTTGTGTTCACTGAGCAGCTGGCTACAGAGGTTTCCTTCTAAGCATTTCTAGGAGAGCCGTGCCCATAAATTCCCAGACATTCCTTGTCTCCAGTACAGCAAAGGCTCCTTCTTACACTGCAAGCTGTCCCTGGGCCCAGGCAAACTTCCTTTAGTGAATTTTAACCAAATGCAATCTGGTAACATTTTAACATATGCAGTTAGGCGAAAAGTACTCACGAGCCCAGCAGTTAGGTCTGAGGAGGAGGTTCTACGAGAAATGAGGAGGGGACCCAGCCCCTGACTCCCTGGACCAGCCAGTGCGTCACACCAGCCGGAAGCAGTAATTCATTAAAAGCAAAACAAACCCTGGGAGAACTCAAGGTGGACGGCAACAGTCAGCACGAGTAACACGCCTTCTTCAGCGAGCAAACCTTCGCGGCAGAAACTCACCTTTCAGTAGAACCACCGTGCCTGACGACAGCAGAAGGCCTGGCTTCCAAACGCTCTTCGCTAAGACTGCCAATGCAGAACTTCGCCACTTTAAGAACGTAACGCTACTGTTTCTGCTGTCCTCGTGTGGGCTGTTCTACCCATGTCCAGACCCCACAAAAACCCAAGTTTCGCCCAGTGGGGCGGGGTCAGGCCCAGGGGCCCAGAAAGTCACATTTCTCATTCCCCTGGGAGAGCACGAGCTACATGTGGCACCTTGTGCACACAATGAAACTGAGAAGATCATGAGGGATAAATTGGGAATTTGGGGTTTGCAGATACTGACTGCTGTATATAAAACAGATAAACAGTAAGGTCCTCCTGTACAGCACAGGGAACTATCTTCAATACCTTGTAATAGCTTATAATGAAAAAGGATCTGAAAAGGACTATATATATACACACACACATATACATATAACTGAATCACGATGATGTACATCAGAAATTAACACAACATTGTAAACTGACTATACTTCAAACAGAGAGGAAGAGAGACAGAAAGAAAGAAAGAAAAAGAAGGAAGGAAGGAAGGAAGGAAGGGAGGGAGGGAGGGAGGGAGAAACCGAGAAACCTAGATGAGGACAAGGGACCGGAGAGAGGCGGGAAACGGTCCGGGGGCGGAGCGGGGAGGGGGCGGGGAAGGGGGCGTGGTCCCTGGACCGTGCGCCTGGAGCCCCACCTCTTTCCGTTACTGTCCCGGAGCATCGCTCTGCCCATCACCCTGGACTTCGTTTCCAGCTCCTGCACCTCCTCCAGCAGCGTTTTCTTGCAGGTGTGCTTGGCCCTGTGTCATGAGGAAAAGACAGAAAGCACAAGACACGTGAACTGTGCACGGCTGGGCCGATGGGCTGCTTCCCTCCCGGGGCCACATCGGAGGCCCTGGGAGCCAGGTGGAGGCTGGGGGACATCGTGGAGCATCTGCCCCCGTGCACGGCCAGGGCTCCACCTCCATAACCTGGGAGGCACCCACGTCCTGCAGAACAGACTCAGCCAACGCCCAAAGCGTTCCTTGGACCGCAGAGGCCCTGGCGTCCAGACCTAAGGCCAGGGCTCGTGCAGCGTCGTGGGTCTGCCTCTAACGTCTTCCCTGCAGGACCTAAAACCCAGAAGATGCTTTACTCCTCACCGTAGTGGACGTAGGTGTGTCCCTCGGGCCTTGCCTCACCATGATTAGGGGTTTGGGGGTGGGGGGAGCCTCTATTTCCTTTTAGTGAAAAGAGTGGCAGCAGCAGCCGGGATGGGATTCATGATGTCAGAGTTCACACTCCTCGTGACAAGCCCTTGACCTGAAATCCGGCTCAACACGAGTGTCTGGGCACAGATCTCCATTTCTCCTGCAGACATCAACTGTGGCCCCAGGCCACTCAGACTGACCTCAGACACGAGGGCTGGTGAGGGTCCAGCGAGTCTGGGAGGTTGAGCTTCTCCGGCTGTTTGACGACTGTCCTCACTCCGTTCCCCCCTCTCCCACCCACAGAGCCAGCAGGGCTCATCAGCCTCCACGCCAGGCCCCACTGTTATCTTCTGGGCGTGGGGAAATGGGAGACACCAAGCAGAAGACTTGAAGTAGGAAGGCTGGGCCACTGGGTGCAGAGCACTGGAAATCTATACCTTAGACCAAAAAATAAATGAATAAATAAATAAAAAGAGGGAATCTGACCTGCTATATTGAAGCTGCCAGTTTTCACCAAACCCCTTCCGAGGGAAGTGACTTGAGCATCTTGATGCTACTAGGCACTGCAGGTGCTCCCGCGGAGGAAACTGCACTTACACCTACGAGCTACTTGGCAGTTCTACTTGCCTGCGGCTGATTCCCGGGAGCTGGCCTGGGGACTTACCCACTATCAGAGAACGTGGAATTGCAACCTGGGGGTGATTCGGCCAGTCCTGCTGTGTGGAGCATTGGAGTAGAAGTGATGCTAGCAATTTAAAACTGTCTTCTCAAGAACCTTTACCGAATAAAGTATTACTTAGAGAAATGAGTCTAACATCTCCCCTGTCAAAGTCTCTGTGAGAATCGACGAAAACCTAACACTTACAGGTTTTAAAAGCCAGTCTCTACTAAGCATGAGCCACTGGCGTGTAAACTGGATCTCACCATCAGCTGGGGTTTGGCTTGTTCTGAGTCACAGCTTGGATGGAGTGAGAACCCATTATCTGTGGACAGCTGGCCCCCAGGGGCCCAGGGCTGCCCACCTAACCCCGTGTCAAGAGGCTCGGTGATCACAGTGGGGGCAGAGTTGGGGTGCTTAGCCTCTGTAAGAGTGTGAAAGCCCAGCGGTGGCCTTTAGATTGGGGGGGGGCATCTCCAGGTTATTAGGGACTTTTGAAATACATACGTCAAAAGCTTAGAATCTTGAATTTTACATCTTTTTTGATTCTGAAACTTTTTTTTCCTGGACTCTTCTTTTCTTTTGGAAGGATAGCAAGTCAGAAGGACATGGTAAATTCTAGACATAGATGAAAAGGTAAACACAATATGCTTTCAAAGAAATTAGTCCGGTTAGAAAGCTTTATTTTTTTTTAATCAAGGCCCAGTTGTATACAGAAATTTCTTATTACCTTTTATTTCCATTTAATTGCCTATCTGGGGTTACATAAGGAAATGAAGTCATTCTGGACTTGCTGAGTGTATTGTGTGCTGACTGGTGAAGCACAAGAGATACAGGCAGATAAAAGGAGATGGGTTCCTGTGTCCCGTGGCCTTGAGCTTTATATTATTTTTATAAAGCAATATAAGTGAACTTCTCCTCGATGAGAAAAGTGCACGGCAGCTAACCTAAGGATGCTGTCCCAGGGAAATGCTTTGGAAGCATGTGAGCGAAAGGATATTAAAATAGTTTCAGGCAATTTAAACTGCATGCTTCTAATAAAAATATTCATCAGCCAGGTACCACATATAATCAATCAATTATTTAAATAAAAGATGTGTTAGTTTGGTCCCTCTTGAAAACTCTGGTTAACGGGGTAACAGAGTAGGTATTTTATGGTGTCGAAATCTGCCTTAAGACAGTCTGATAATGCCTCCTCGCCCAGAAAGATGACAGACTTCATGGAAAAAATGACTGCATGATCTCATGCTGGTTTTTTTTCTTTTCCTTACACTTAACAGTACAGGTCCTAAAATGGGAGAGAGACTGGGCAGAGAAAGAGGGAAAATGCAGGCAGACGAAGCAACTCACTTTCTCCAATGCACACAGAAATAAGGGTGAAAAGGCAGGCCTGCCCTGCGCTGGAATTTAAAAGCTCTTTCAAAATAGAGTTAGCTACTAAAATTCAAAACTAAACAAAAGTCCTTAAGATCGGCCCAAGTCCAGTTGAAAGAACCCTAGCAAACGCCTCATGCGGGTTCGCCACAGGGCGAGCGCTAGCTCCTCCCTGACTCTCTGTCACTCAACTTACACGCTTCTCAGAAGGCCCTGGTGATCCTAGCACGTCACCTGCCAATCAACATTCCACAGTTTGAACCAAATGATGGGTAACTTTCTGGACAACTGGGATTCATCTTTTGGTTCCAGGTGCAGGAAGGAAAAACAGAACACATTTTATAAAGATCAGACAGAGAAATGACAGTTCAGTGTCATGGCCTCATCAGAGGCAAGCAGCTCACAAGATGCTTCCTCTTCCCGGGAGAGGCCTCTGAGTCTCCCTGACTCAACAAACAAGTGTTTCAGGCTGGGAGTATAACATGAGGTAAAACAGAGGCCCTGTGATCAGAGGGAAAATGCCAAAGAAACTCGCCAGATTCCTGTTTTTGAGGAGGGGGTAACTGTAGTTTAGACACTGACTGAATATGACAAACTGAGCATCTACTTTGGGCAAATACTCCAGGCAAGAGGCAATCAGTATTTGCCATCCTCCCTGGGCCCCCAAATATAAGGAGACAAAACCAAATTTCAGGAGGTGCCTCTGGGGTTCAGTGGGGGCCTCTCTCGCTTTCCCAAAGGTGGGCGCTGACCGCTCCTGGGAAGGGCGGCGATCGGGCCCTGGCAGGGCAGCAGGTGGAACCACACGTGGTCTGCCCCCGCTCCCCGCCCGCCAGCCCCTGCGCCGACCTGGCTGGCCAGCTCCTTGGAAAGGGAGTGACTTGTGCGCTTTCTAGTGGAGCTGGAAGCAGTGTCATTAATTTATCCTCGTTAAAATGTAAATCATGCTGATTTTACAATGCCGGGAAAAACCAAATCCTGTTTGAAGGAAGAGATAATCTGCTTCCTGGTGACTGAGCACTTTTTTTGGAAGGTACCAGGAAGGAGCCCGACAACTGATGGGCAGGCAGAGCCGCTGCAACCTGCAAACAC